CAACACTGAATTCGGTTCAAACGTCTCTTTCGAAAATTCCCAACAATGCTCAACAATACGCTGCACAGATTTTCACTTCCTAATGTATTTGTTGTTTTTCTGATAGTGTGATCACATATAATTCTTTTACTTCAAATTCAGGATTTGCCAAACCAAATTCATGACTCTTCGAACCAAATTCACGAATTTTCAGAGCAAATTTGCGACTTTCAAAATAGACCCAACAAATAGTTACCCATGCCTTACTAGACTCTGCTGCAAGCCCTACAGCCACACTCACATTTCATTTGGTCGTGAGTTTTCAACTTTTGTTTTATAAATTCTGCATTTGTGACTTTTTTTACACTTTTGTCTCTCGCTAGCTGAAAAGGACTGTTCATCGGCACGTGGGCAACTCCGCTCATGTTTAGAGGCAGTGATGTTTTCCCACTCGGCCTCAACAATTGCTAGCAGGGCGCTGTATAGTGGGGAAATGGCGAAAGAACGGAGTGAAACGGTCAAAATCCTGCGAAGAAAAAGCCTCCGTTCTCAGTGACTTGTAAATCGATTTCGGACGAGTTTCCCGTAGGCATCTTGCCAATCACCGCTACCGAAGGTACGGCTGCATATGTGTACCCATGTATGCATGCAGCATCAAGCGGCCGCTTCATACCAATCCCTTCGCTTCATAATTTGCTTAGCAAATGAATGAATACGAGCGTCAGGAACGGTCGTCCGTTTGTGGGCGGGCGGGCAAGGAAGGCGTTTGGGACGGAATGTTGTTGCTCGATAGGGCGTTATAGGGGTACCCTCCTTCGGAAAAGGCGCCACGGAGCGCCTTTCGAGGAATTACGAATTTCCTGCTAGCCAGTTCGTACATAACTACATCTGTGTATAGCTGGTTTACGGCACCTGCTGCTTTTAAAGGATCATTGCAAACTTCGACTTCCATAACTTTTTGAATTAGTGAATTTGGCTTGAAAAGTCGTGGATTCAAAGTGAAAATGCTATAAACACATACGTAAGCATTTAATTTTGAAATTGTGTCTTACTGTTAGCGCTATAAGCAGTTAAAGGCTACAGAACGTTGTTAGAGATTTTACCTGTTTCCGCCTTTTACTGCCGCTATGGTGAGATCCTCGATTGTAGTTTGGCCCATGCTCAGGTCCTTCCTGAAAGAAAATACTTTCGGATAAATTCGTCGCTATACAGGGAGTAAACGTACGGGATCGTTTTCAGCATCAAGATTTCCATCGTCATAATCAATGTTCTGAAAGTTATACTGTATTCGCAACCATTATAAGTAATTTCTGCTACCAACGACTATCAAGTCATGCTGAGAGAGGAAAAGCGATCTGTAACCCAAAAAAACATGGCTCATAAACCACAAGCAGAGGTGCTCCAAGTTAACAGCGGCATTATTCAATTGTGTAGCCGACGGACTGGAGCGAGGTGGGCTCTATTAAAAAAAAAAAAAAAAAAAAAAAAAAAAAAAAAAAAAAAAAAAAAAAAAAAAAAAAAAAAAAAAAAAAAAAAAAAAAAAAAAAAAAAAAAAAAAAAAAAAAAAAAAAAAAAAAAAAACAGAGAGACATTCCAAGTATAACGTTTTGAGCCTGTAACCAGCAAATCCCTTAGAAACTGCATTTCAAAATTTACGTGGACGGTTTGTTTCTGCACTAGGTTATGTCCTAGCAGCCTTCACACGGGAATGGAGCAGTAGAGCCTGAAAAGTCGACGTACTTGATAATTGTTGATAATAACCTTTGACACAGCTTTGCTCTCTGCGAATACTGGGTGCGTCAGCGGGGGAGGGGTGAGTTTGGCGCTTCGCCAGCCCCTTCTCCACCAACAGTTGAAGCGGATAAGCGACAAAAGTTGGTGGAAAATGGCCTGGCGCCGCGCCAAATCCAGCCTTCCTGGAACGCTCCATCGATCTGCAGCGAACAAAAGTGTAGCTTCTGAGCATCAAGCTTGCTACCACAAACAAAAGCTTAGAGGCCCAACAAACATAGAATGTTTCTGAACTTCGTTGTGTTACCTGAATTGCCTGAGTTGTGAGTATTACGTATCCTGTTATGCGCTGAGCCCGAAATCTCCGTACCCCCTGGGCCGATGTCGAAATCAGGCTGGTCAGAAGAGCTTCGACAACAAGGACAGCACGGGCTGTCAGCCTGCAACACTGAACATTATTCTTCCTATAGGACACTAGAACCAGACGCCTGTGCTAAGAAACTGAATAGGTAAGTAGAAAGCTGAAAAAGGAAATCGCTTTAAATACAGCCCCTTCGATCTAGTTTTTCGACCTGACAGCGAAGAGAGGGTGTGATAGGTCGCTTACCAGACAGGGGACTTGCGGTCAATATGGTCGCCGCACCTGATCTCAGCTGATTTCTTTTTCACTGACCCTGCCCACGTCCTTTTGCGAGTCTTCTTGGCGGATTTTCTGTTCCGGGCTGGGTAAGGCCAAAAAAGGGTCCAGCCAATGAGAGGAAGGAGGTTAGAATGCCCTCGTCATTCGGCTCTACGCCACAAGGTGGTGCAGCCGGTGTCGCCCACTAGTCTACTTGTCCTACAAACCCCACTGTGGTGACGATTGAAGTAAATGCTGGCTAATTTAGTAGAGATGACCACAGAGAAATGGCGATGGTGTGAAAGGAATCAGACAGAGAAACGAACCTTTGAAAATTCAGAGTCCACAACGGATTTGAGTGAGGACCCACTTCCTGCCGTAGTTCGGTTGTTCACCCCATAGCGAATTGGGTCCTGAATATCACCGCTATAATGAAACTTTCAAATGGTGATCAGTACAAGCCTCAAAATCTACTGCAAAAAAAAAGAAATTTGCAAGGGCTGTGTAATAACGTTGAATTAAAAAAGGGACAGTGGTGGGGCAGTCAGATCACGCTGGGGATCCCCAGTCGCGGAGGTCGTAATATTTGGTCAATGGAGAGAGACATTCGTGTTTTGCTTTAGGAATAACGCTTTCGGTCTTTGACCTCTGCCTCGTTTGGCGGCAGTTACTGGAAGGAACTGGTAGAATTTTTGAAAAAAAAACTTCGAGTTCTACTGGTTCGGGAGAATTGAGGAAGTCCGTAGGTAGGATGTGAAAGAGGAGAATAATGCTAAAGGAGTGGTTTCCGAGGGGTTCTACTTCGCGGAAATTACTCCCCCCCCATACTTTAGGCAGTGTCCCGTAGCCTATAAACAAAGCAAAGCCTGCTGGTTGTACAGCCGCTCCTGCGTCGCACAGCGAGCGCTGCGCCGGGCCCACTGGAAATGCCAGTGCACCTCTGACCGCTCCCTGCTCGAACCTATAGACTGTCCATCTGAGCTTCGCTCACAACCAGCCCGTACACTCTTGTTCTCACCGAGGGCTGAGGCTTTGACGGGAAAAGCGCTAGACGCTTCTCCCGCTTCAGCAATTTGTGAAGAACGGACTGAGCAACGCCAGCGACCAAAAAGTTGCCCCGCTCCACTGACGTACCCTAGCGTCTGCACGCAGGACAAGACTGTACAATCTTCCTGAAATCGCAATTACATGGACTGTATGTTACCCAAAGTTGGTTGAACGGCTCATGGATTTCGTAGGGCTCGAACATTATCCAGCTTGGCCTTGGTTTTTACATACCGCCTAGAGCCTACTAGGCTTCAATTGCTCCGCATTACCAATGGCAACAGAATGCATGGCGCACTCCAGGGGTTTATTCCTCTCAACCTTTTCTGCAGCATCTGATGCTTTTTCTATGAAAAGATCTTCATAGGATTGTAACTGATAGTCATAAAAGACTTGAGTTCAGCAATCAATTATTTCAGTAAAAATATACAAACAAACCGATAAGTGCCATAAAGGAGATAGATATTAACTATCTCCAATGTCTTGCTTCGGTTTTATATCAAAAACCATTCGTCCGACTTTGCCAGAATGACACTCGAAGTCTTACCATACACCTGACTGCTGGTCTGTTCCAGACGATTCAAAAGCTTCCTGCCAGGGCGCCATCCTTAGACGTCAAATAAGTCCAATCATGAGGGTCTTCTTGGGTCAGAATACCTCCAATATCAGAAGGGAATTCTTCCAACCAGCCGAACGGCTTTTCATCTACCACCATGAATAGACCATTTAGTGTCGACAGATATTGTATGCCAAGGTCTTGATCAGCGAAATATGGTGATGAACTGACCCTAGAAAAGGAGTTTAATTAAGAAGTGTGGAGAAAAAGATTGAATCTTGCAACTTTATAATCATTAGAATTGGGACCTTTCATTGGTTCGATGCATGATAACACCTCCAGTAAAGGATCACACATGTCCAATGCTACCACTGAAATGGGACCTCAGCGGCCAGGGGGCAGAGTTTGGGACAGAAAACGGACAGTCAGAGGATACTGAAAAATGCGAAATACCCTCTTCCTTTTCGAAGGGACAAGGTGCTCAACGCAAGCGTTGCTTCCTTCTTCTTTTTCGCATATCTTGGCCCTGGCTAATCGGCTTTCTTAACATTTATTACTCAATAAATATCATTCACATCGGTAAAAACAAATCAAAAACACGCAAGGGAAAGCTACAGAAACATTCGTGGCACTCGAAGTGGAGGTGCGACCTTTGCACGGGCGCAGTTTATACGTCACAAAATAGGGTAGGGATTTCGCGGTGTTTCAAGAAGGCAAACGAAGCCCTACCGCGATGGTCCGCTGCAGGGGGAAGGCTTGTAAGTTACGGTCAAAATACCAAGCAATGGCGAAAGTTGCACATCCACTGGGAAAAATGGCAGAAAAATTGGTACCACCTTCAAGCAGGTTTACAGTGGAAGCTGAATTGCTCGACAGGTTTGAAGGACTTTAGAACATCCTCATGAAATCCTTCCTCCCCCCTCCCCGCCTACAATACGAGCCTCATGTCCGATCTACTTTTAACTTCGTGCTCACTTAGAATTTTTTGCACAATGGGGTTCCAGATTCCCTTGTAAGGGTGGGAGGCTACTGGAAGGAGAGCTCATGTGGTTGTGGCACACAAAATCATCGAATGAAGTCAAGAACGTGGCCAAGGGGGTAGGTGATCCAGTAAAAGTGAGGCCACCTAGCCATCGCATGATCCGTCTTCATACCCTTAATGGAATCTTCCTCACCACAAAAAAGCTGGGATACCACCTTTTGGGATCAACTAGGTGATCTGTCTCGTTGTAAAACACTGCCTGGTACGTCGACTGGCCTTCGCAGGTCGTTGTCTAGGCTAGTTAGCATTGAAAAACTTTTTGAGGCTCTAGCTTTCCAAGAACGCTTGATCAGTCTCGTATACCCCCCTTCCCAACCGCTCCTTGTTAGAGATGCATAGAGAGATGCATCTACGTCCGATTAAGCGCGGAAACCCTTGTTTCCCTTCCTTACTTAAAGTGAAGAGCTATCAATTATCTCAAAAGTTTGCTGGAGCAGCTTTACAGCTGCCACACTCGTACTCAAACAGCAGCGGGGAAGTGTATAGTCTAGTTCGCTGCGAACGAAGGGGCGTGTCAAGAGGGATGAGTATGGAGCGGTGCCAAACCCGTCCTCCACCAGTTGAAGTGAGCAAGCAACAAGAGTGTACTGTATTATTCGTATCAGTCCGTTTCGCTGACTGTTGTCGCTTA